GGGAGGATCCCACATGCCGCGGAGTGGCTGGGCCCGTGAGCCATGGCCGCTGAGCCTGCGCGTCCGGAGCCTGTGCTCCGCAGCGGGAGAGGCCACAACAGTGAGAGGCCCGCGTACCGCAAAAAAAAAATAAATAAATAAATAAATAAATAAATAAATAAATAAAAAAGAGGCAAGAGAGGTTTTGGTTCAGATAGTGAGTGACATCTGTGTACCTCAGAGGGGGCTTCCAGGATGTAGGATGGAGGCATTATTAATGAAGAACAACAAATCTGAAATTGAGTTGATCTCCTGGTTTTAGAAGAGAAGGACTCAGCTGACACACCAAAATTGAGCTGCCAGATACCACTGTTGGATTCTTGAAAGGAAACCTCTCTGAGCATAAATTTGTGATCTTCCACATTATTAGTATACCTTGAAAATTAGGTCAGTCATGCTACCCCACTGTTACTGTCTTTGTACACATCACACCTTATATTGCATTTCTTTTGAGATTCTTCTCTAGAACGCAATAACTTGTTAAAGTGTAAAAAGTCATTGGTATGTGAATACATATTCCTTGTTGTTAATTACTTGAAGCTATCAACTTGTTGTCCAGAGCTCTCTTATAGTTTCTGTTCACTAAGGAATTAAGGTCATTCCTGCACTGGAATGCAGATATTCTGTGTTGCTGATTAAGGTGGGGGTCCATATGCTTTGAAAATCAGTTGAGCTGAGAATAGGCTTAAAAAAGTAAAGAGGCCTAACCAAAATGGGTATTTGAATAAGACAGCTCATCTCAGCATACAAAAGGCTGAAGAATTCACCAATGATTCAGGTATAGAATCTTCCTTAGAAAACAGATCTGTACCCAGTTCAGTGCACAGATTAATGATTGAGCTTCAGAGTTCTGTATTGTAAAACAGACATAATTGTTCTTAAAAAGATGAAAAGTATCTTTTTATGAGATCATAAGAATACTTCAGTGAGATAGCCAACTAGAGCCCATTCATGATACCCATCAGTTTCCTGGGATCAGTATTAAACGTATATGACTTAGTTTCATAAATGGTTGCTTTTCACAGTTGGGAGTACAGATCTGTGGTTCCTGAAGCAGTTTCCTTAAGGTGATAGATAATTGAACAATATAGTTTAAGACAGCTGCTGAGTATGGGCTGCAGAAAAACTAGGCTTATAAGAACTAAATTGGCATAATGTTTCAATACTGTGTCCAATAGACTGATGAGATGGTAATTTGGGGAGGAGTAGAGCAATATTTTTTATAAAACTATAGACTACATTCTGGTTCCATTCAGCTGGAATATTTCCTTGTAGGAAAATGAGGACATAGGAACACACAATTGTCTAAGACTAGTATTAACCAACTCCTTTTCTCCCTGCCTAATAACTCTCCATAGGTTTACCTATGTTAGTTTTGAACCTTTTTATTTGTACTACCTTTTAGGGTTACAAAACCACTTTCTAAATTCCTGAGTCCAAACTTTCACTCTAGTCTAAGCCTTTGCCCTTTGTTTCCTGCGGGATAACAACGCTATTGTCTACTGTGTAATCTTTCTCGAATCAGTTTATCGAAGGAAAACTTTTCATTCCCGAACCGTTGAGACACAAACTTAACTGTAAAGATTTGTTTTTGTGTTTCTTGGAGGTAGCATCCCACTTCATATCTACTGACCTCTTACTATGTTCCTTTTCTTCTAGTCTTCTCTCCCTGGGAGTATCCAGGGAGATGGTTTCCAATATAATGTGATGGTTTTTATACTTTGGGGAAAATTGAATGACCACCTTCTAATATAGTTCTCTCATTCACATTTCCCAGAAGCCCAGTGAAGTTAGCCATGGTAGGTGTCACCTCTTTGGAACTGGTATTTTATGTATTATATTTGAGGGTATAATTTTAGTAGGTTCTTCTGTAATTCCAGAAAAAATTTAAGTGGTTTATTATGAGATTTTTTTTTTAAGGCCATAATTTTGCCACAAATACTTTAGCCAAGAGGTTAAACATATTGTGTTCTTTCACCACCTTTTATAGACCTGTATTTGTCTTGATCCAAGATAGGTTTACTCTACCAACTTTTTTTTTTTGGAAGCCAGTCCTAGTATCCAATAATCCTTTTCATATAGCTAGGAAACTGTGTTCCTCCTGTTAACAAACGAGTGTTTTGCTTCTTAGTGATTCCCTTCTTATTTAGGAAAAAGGTAGACATGGGTTTGGCTCATAACCTGTCTTCATACTGAACTTTTACTCATAGATTCCTTATTATGTATAGGCATCATGGATATGTAATGTTGTAGTCCCTTTGGGTCCAGCTGTCAGAAATAATTGAAATCCATCTTCAGAACTTATTTAATAAGCTTATTTCTCCAAAGATAGAGGATTCAAAGCAAGTAGTATCATGTTAGTCCTAAACTTCTTTTAACATCTGACCCAAGATGGGGATGGGGGGTGGGATTGGAAGAATGGCTTCTCATAGATCTAATCATTTTGGTGGTTGGTAGCGCATTCATACAACAGCCTACTATACTGAAAAAACGTTCAGAGTTAACAATCTGATAAAGATACATTTATGGTTCCACCTATCAAAGATGATATGTCTTTGGAGATAAGAGCTATCTAGTTAACTAGATAACTTTATGTTTAAGTTGGATTTTATCTGTCACTTTTCTTATTGTAAACATTGTTATGTGGTATGATACTAAACTTCATCCCCAGTAGTTTGACATATTATATATACTAGGTAGAGTTTAGTGCCGTCTTTTAGCTTAGAGATTTAAATGTTTTAGTATTAATTTCAAGAGACCCTAGTGTTATAAAATACTCTATCGGGGAAGTGATGTTTTAAGGAACCTCCTCATATTCTTAAGCTTATTCTGATCCATGACAAATATATCCTCTTTATTCCAAGATCCACAGTCATTTAAGTAAGAGATACTTTAATGTGACAGTTAGAGGCTGTAAGCTATCTACTTGTTCTCTTCTTAAAGATGTTCTTATTTATTTATTTATTTAAAGGGTTCTAATGATTTAGATACAGTTTATTTTTAAAATTTAGTCTGTTTCACCCTTTAGATTACCCTTAACGTATAGGATCATAGAATGTTTCACTAATTTGCCCAGCATAGAAGTCAGATTTACTGCTTTTTAGCTCTCATTGAGTCTTTATGAATGAGAATTTTATTAGCAATATATCAATCCTAACATGGGATGGTTTGTGTAAAATATTTTGGCCAGTTGTTTAGAATTTTCTCCTTGAGAGCTTTCACAACTTTTGGGTAGTTGCCACTAGTCTTACTTCTTTCTAGAGATTCTTTCTGAAGAATAACCAGTCCTCAAAATCCTTCAAATAGGTTTTGTGAAGTAAATTTTGTAAAATAAGTCATCAGCTCCCCAGAATTTATATGTGTTACATAAATGTGTTGAGGCTATCAGAAGGTGTTACTATACCTGTGGGATTGTTTTTTTTTAAATGACCTCCTTTGCGTGTATATGTATACTTGCTGAAAAATTTATTTTCTGAAGAGAAATTAATAACACTTACTACTGATTGATTTAGAGATTGTAGCTCATATGTGAAGTTCCTTCTTTCAGTGACATAACTTGTATTATTCTGTGTTAGGTAGCATAACAGTGTTGGTCAGGAGTTTACTTCCTGTCTCATTACAGTTTTAAATTGTTGCCCGTAAAAGAATTCTCTTATGATTGGTAAATCATGAATATGTGCTAGCATATATCAATTTATTATTTGAAATAGAACTAACATACTGATAATAATATCATTTTAAGATTTGTGTAAACTGCCATTTCCCTGAAAGAATACAGCTTGATTTGCTTGTCACTATATACTTGGACTTTTTTATTTGCAGGGATTGGGGGAGACAAGTCAGAAATGTAAACCATGTTCTTCTTGCTACTTGAAATTATTTCTGTATTAGACTAACTTGCAGATTTTACTTATGCATGCTTGACTATTTTAATTATCTTTTTTCTCCTTTTCTTAAAGATGATACTTGTTGATGCCACTGTTATCATCCTCCTAGCAGAAGATAGTCCTACTGAGAAAAAGAGCACTTTGATCATTCAGTCTTTGAACTTTAACCTTTGACTGGAAGTGACCTATAGGCAATGAAGACTACTTCCTTTTACTGCATTTTTACTCGTGTGCATTCTGGGCGCATGTTGATCGCTGGTTCAGTCCACGCAACTGACATGCTTTTATTAGTCATACAGTATTAATGCAGGTGTCAGGAAATGTCAAATATAATTCCATTTTTTATTTTTATTTTTTTAAGCTTTTGGAAAAGTTCCAGGTCCTCATGTATTGTGCAATAACAATGACTTCCTTGGCGGTTTTGGGACGTTCATTGCCGGCAATGGACGTTGTAACAGGAAAAATTTTCATTAACTCCTGCCACCCAATGATTAATGCATGATAGGGCCTATGAAATGAACTTATCATTATCGGTTAGAGTGGGATTATAAATAAAGTGAGGGATCCAACATTACTTTGAAAGTCACCCCAACTGCTTATATTTGGATTCTATGCACTGTGAACCTAAGGTTAACAGCATGAATTAACATGCGTCTTTAAAGGACTGTAATGAAAGATCATTGAGTATTTATTGAATTGTTTATATCTGCTGTCAAATTGTTTTGACATGGATAGTTTTCAAGTGACATTGGCAGAGAGGTACAATATGTTATCCCTATGGTGAAAATGAATTCATTTGTTGTATATAGTTCCTCAGTCTCTGAAGTAAAGGTGTGAGTAATATAGGGTATGAATGGTTTAATCAGGGCTTTATTTTGGAAGTAAGAAAAATGGCAGTGACGAGTAAACTGCTGCAGTCCGTGAGCTGGGCTTGTCATTTGTACGTTAACGATTTTCCCCAGCAGATGACACTCTGCTACTTCCCGCTAGCCGTCAGCATGAGCCCTGCTGCCTCGACACTATTTCATTTATTTGTGTTTGGAAAATCCATAAACATTTTTGTTTGCAGTTTTGTTTCTTTTGTTATGTTAAGTCAAGTTTGAATGTTACAGTACTTTAATTGAAAAACTTTTGTCAAGTTTTTTCTTGTAAATTTTCTTCACTTGTAAGTATCATCTTGTCCTTCAATCCTGTACCCTAAAATAAGAAATACATTTTTGACAGAGGCTTAATGTTTTAACAAAAGAGTGTGGACATTTTTATTTTAAAATTTAGGCAGAAGTACACTATAGAATGGTGTGTTTGCTTATTTGTTTCACACAACCATACAGTTTTGTTCTGGAGGGATTTGTTTTGTTTTGCTTTGTTTTGTTGTTATTTAAGAATTTGCTTACAGCTAGATAACATTTTTCTATAGAAAAAAAAATTGTTTGAAAGGTCCAACTCTCAGTACCATGTCAGTTAATGATACTGCAACTAGGTTCTCTTTTTAAAAAGCAATTAATGTATTTTATAAATTACCTTTTCACATATGCAAAATCTGTTTCTACTATAATGTTATTTTTACTAATGCCTATTGTTGCACTCTTTTTGACATATCCTGCAGTGAATATAATGAATCAATTTGGGCTTAAAAGTGAAAGCCAGTTGGCTAAAAGGTTTGAAATATGTACCCCAGCAAAACCATCCAATCAATAATTGGCAAAGAATATTTTAAAAATTGTTTTTAATCTCTGTATAGATGACATTTTGTAGCTTTGTACATGTTGTTAATTAAGGGCATACAATTTTACACTCTAAAAGTATAATTGTTGAACTCAGGGGTGGGTAGACTTCTAAAATATGTCTGCTGTAGAAATAACTTGAAAAAAAAGTTTAAACTATGGCCAGCTACCAAATTGTGGACACCGTTTATACTGCTGGTTAGCAACTACCAGTGTTTAAACTTAAAAACATTTTTGTTCTTGACTAGAGAGGTACACGAATTCTCACAGTAATCTCTATCAGTCTTATTAGTTGGCCGATTTAACCAAGACAAAAAAATGTTTTTTGGAATGCTTTGAACTACTCTTAGTTTTTAACTGCTTTTTAATATGAAAATTGCAGCTGTAAATTATGTATTTTTCATATTTTACGTAACTGCTCTAAACTACTGATTCACTTGATCATTCTCTGGGGTGGGGTGAGGGTCTCTCTCCGTACTGCTGGTCCTCTTACTAAAATCCTTTTATAAAGAAATGACCTGTGACATTTATTCACCAAAGGAATTAATATACCAGGTCAAAGGTTAACAATGCTATCACATAGATTAATAGGTCATATATAGCCTCAATTGAGTTTTTTAATACAAATAATAGTATTTTAACATACCTCTGTGTCTACATAGAGATACCGTACAATAAATTAAAATGACACAGAGGAAAGCAAAGGAAAACCAAATAATTTTGGTACATCTTATGGTTTAAGGAGAAGAAGATAGGATGAAATATCCTGAAATATAGACCATTCAAAATTTGCGATCTGGTAACACCTTATGCGTTACTTCCTTGAATTTAGGAATCATTGAAAACTCCTGTGCACTTAGATTTAATTAAGCTAATTTTAAATATGAGTTACATTATTAAAAGCATAAGATGTTTACCTGAGTCATTCATTGCTCAAGAGAGGGGAATTAACGGCTTTGTAATAATAAAAAGAATACTTCTCTGTATTGCGTTATTGAATGTCAACCAGAATAACTAAGAAAATGTACATGGGAACATGGTACTTCCCTCTTCCCTGCTTTCCCTCTGTGAGGCACTATCTGCTGCATAGGTCTACAGAATTATACCTTCAGATTTAGGACAATATGTACTCTCTTCTTTTTTATTTATTTATTTATTTATTTTAAGGCCATTCTGGTTTGCCAGATTCTGTTACGGCAGTAATACATTCAGTTCCTTATTTTGCATGTTTAGATCATGAACTTGGTGCCCTTTCCAAAACAAAAAAGAAAAAGAAAAAAATTATGTCAAGTAGGTAAATAATGCCATAGATTTTAAAGAGAGAAACGGTTTTCAGTTTTTTAAGATAAATTTTTAAAAATAAATTTTTTGGCTGTTCTCTTAAGGAATTTAATATTCATCTCTAAAGGACTTACTTGTAATGTACAAATTCCGCCTTTTTAGCTAGCAGGGAAATAAGGCTTTTTTTTAATCCCCAGAAGAAAATGCTAAAAATAGCTTTTATATAGAGTTCATCTGGAGAAAGATCTTAATACTTATTGTTTTGACTAGGTATATAAATATTTCGTATAAAGTAGCTAGAATAGTTTACTACTTTTTCCCTTCAGAAATTTTAACTATATGCAACAATATATATCATTAGATTCCTGTGGTGGATAATAATTTCTTCAGATTCTAAAACAGGTATCTAGTGACTGCTTAATTGTTCCCAGATTGCATCAAAGATGAATTGAAATGAGTAATGATATGAAAATAGTATGTAACCACATATTACTTGTTTCTGGTAATCAACTCTTATTTTTTAAAAAGCCTATTGTTTTTGAGAATTGAGGTATTTAAAAACTTGTTAAAGCTTCTTCCTAAAAATAGAGAAGAGCAGGTACTGTGTGTTTAAAAAAATTTTTTTTTAAATAAAGAATTCAGTGTCACTAGTTCTAAGCCTTTATGGTTACTGCTGCTTACATTTCTCAATCTCACTTTTATTTCATTTTTTGTACATATTTTAGCTGAATGCTTAAGATTTGTAATTGTGTACAAAAGTTTATTTTCAAAAAGAGCTGAGGCTTGACCATTTGAGTCTTTTCTGAGGATTCATTGTTATCAAAATCAGCTACTGCACTCTTCTGTGATGCTAATGCCTTTGCATGATTAAGATCTGTGAACAAGGTATCTTTTCATCTGCACCTCCTGGCCCTAATCCTCTTTACAGTCTTTATTTTTATTCCTCCTTTATTCTTCTTCCTTCCTGTCTCCTCACAGATACCAGTGGATCAGTCTTCAGTGTCTCTCTGACCTCTCAGATTTTCTCCCCTCTTCCCTCCCTTCTTTCCTTCCTTCCTTCCCTTTCCTCTCCCTTTCCCTCCCTTTCTTGAGGTTAGGAAATCTAGAGAAGGAGGATTATTAAAATTATATCAGAAAAAAATTTTAATAAAAAGATTCCATCCTACAAATAAAATAATTTCTGATACCTAATCTCAGTCCATCAGTAGATGGCTAAATTTGTTGAATAATTGACTACTTGATAAATAAGCTGTTGTTAGCTATAACTTAGTTCTTAAATACTGATATTGAGGGAATTTCATTTACTTTTTGGATGTGACTCTCTCAAAGCCTAATTATTGCCCAAATGAATTAAATTACTTATTTTGCTGAAAGTGTTTTTCCATTTAAGTTTCTAAACCATTTTGAGACTTGGAGCTATGTTTTAAAAATAATAATTTGTGGGAGACTTTTACTTTCTCAGCATAAGTTAAAGACAGATTTATATACATCATTATCATTAGAGGCCCGTGGAATCTAAGCATGTACCTCAAACTTAGATCTCTGTCCTTCAAGTTGAAGTTCTGGTTCTGACTATGGTCCTGGTAATTGAGGTGTTTATTGTGACTTTAATTCTCAAATGTTAGCATTGGGACTTATAGTTGGGGATGAATCTCCAAAATTATTACATGAATATCTTTCTCATGAAAAGTTTTTTGTTAATAAAACTGTGATATCTGAAGCCATTTTGAATATGTGGAAGGAATGTCTGAATAGAAGCCAGTACGTCTTCACATACCTAAAGAACTCGAGTTTTGCAAGTTGAGCGCAGTTGATTGGGAAAAAGGAGAAGTCGTTCTTGTTCTGTTTCTTGGCACATACACCACCATCAGGGTTTTGAGAAAAGTTTGCTCCGACAGTAATTCTCAGAGCTGTTTTCTCAAAGGCAAAAGCACGGTTTCAAAACTCACCGGGCTTTGGCTTGTTAGATGTGACTTCTACTTCTCAGATTTCCTGGCACGTCAAATTACTGAATAATCTTGCCTCTCTAATTAAAAACCTGAAACAGGATATGAATAAAGAACTTGGTAGATTGTGTCAGATACCCTGGAAATGCAAGTCTCTTCATAGTTAATCACAGATTGTTTACATAATGCAAACTGATTGTCAGGCTCAAGGAACATAGTTATTTGAATAGATTATTAAGTCAGTTATCTAGTAGCCAAGAATTAGGTGCATGTTCAAGTCATAATGGATATGTTATTTTTAGTTGGTACCATTTTTCTCTGAATATTCAGAAATATAGATTGTGCATTTTATTAATAGGAATGGAAGCTCATGCTTGAAGATTTGCATAGGGTGGATGTATGTATTTTATAAAATCAAGTTGTAAAATATGTAAAGCTACTGCTTTTTAAATAGAATATAAATGTTGACAGATAAATCTATTATATATTTTTAAATACATGTATCAAACTTTTGTTAGTTGAATACAAACTACATTGTGTGCTTTATGGAATTCAGTAACTTTTAATAATAAAGCAGTTGTCATTGATTTCTTTTTCTGTAGACTTCAATGCTAAATTGGATAGATATTAAACCTTTTTGTAGTCTATGATAATGTGAAAATTTATATAATAGTTCCTCTTTATAAAAGACAGTGATCTTGAAAGGATTATGGAAATAGTAACATGTCCATTTCCAAAATGAATACAACAGAATGAAGATAGTCACTAAAGCCACTTGTTTTTTTATTTAAAGATCATCTTTGTTTAGTAGTGTAACCTAGTGTGTTATAGTGGTTCTTCATGCTTTAACTGAGTCCTGATAAAAGACTGGGCATTTTCAGAAAAGATGGAATTGAGACTGGAGCACTTGCTCAGAGTTACCATGAGTCTGATGCTCCTGAGCTTCAAGTTCATCAGGACATGCTTTCCCAAGTATACAAGCAGATCAACTAGCTTACATAAATGACTGGCTCCTGAAGCTATGAGAAGAGAGAAGGAGGTAAGCAGAAGGGGATATCTCCACATCTCAGTTATTCCTGGCAGGAAGAGATTCAGTATGTCCTGCTGCTATTCTAAGTTTTCTTTTCACAGGGGATCTACTTACCCAGGAGCGCTGTACTCCTCACTGGGACAGCTGTACTCCCATAAAGCTCTCTTAGCCCAACAAGCTGTTTCTGCAGCCCTAAACAACTAGATTAGTAGCTGGTTAGATAGATGCAAGGTTCATCTTTCTTTGTACTTTGATGGCACTCTCTCCTTTTATTATAATCCTTAAAATAATTTCTACCTCCGACAGAAGGTATAACTTTTCTTCACTAGTTTACGCTACTGTGGATAAGTGGTTTTGTTGAAACCCTCCCTGTATTCTACAGTACTTTTCATACTAACGTAATACATGGCAAAATTAAACATGAACTGAATAAAAGGGTCAAATAAGGAAAGCTGAAATAAGGAAGTAAGGTGGAGAATATCTTCTCATACATGTAGTTGATCTTCAAGGACCTAATGTGGGTAGATATATATCATCAGGCAAGACCCTAATGTCGTT